GAATTTCATGCCATCAGGGAAAGAGCACACTACATGAAAATATACAAGGAAAAAATAGTCACTTTTTCTGGAGAAGAAAATAACTAACACGTGTTTAATTTCAGCATTTATTTAAAAATACTTACTTGTTTATAAATTTATTAAACTTAGACAAATATAAATGTTAGTTTTAATTTTTAAGATATAAACTCAAATAAGTACACACCAAGAGATATATGTATATGTATTAGATTAGATTACTGTCAAATACCATCCATTCGGTTCTACTTAATTAGTATATTATATCAAAATATAAGCATGATATATCAACAATACAATGAAAAGAACTACATAATTAAATATGGTTTTTGCATAGTATGTCGCCTGTTCCGAGTTTCAGGCTTTGACCAAAAGAAAACAAATAGCACTGTTATAAGGGTATTTAAAATTGCCTAGCTATAGTGCAATCTCTTTTCTCCCACTCAAGTAGACAATACATCAGAATTGATTCAGAGATAGTTCGTGTGCACACACTTCAAGGCACTTACCTTATGATGCCTACCAATTGCATGACAGTTTGAAGCTAGACTCGGTGTTCACACTGCGTATTTATAAATCAAATTACACGAAATCATATCCCTCAACTAACAGAACAGAAATTACCTGACCCTTCTACTCAAATATATATAAACGAAGAACAATGCTAGACAATTAAGTTGATGATATATATATATATTCTAAACGCAACAAAGCAAGTAAAGGAAAAGAAACTAGAACAAACTGCACTTTACCGCATCCAATAAATGAAGGTATATACATATATGGAAACTAACACGATCTTGAAACCCTTTATTTTCGATCGTCACGAACATGTTCAAGAAGAGTACATTACATACATACACATTTTATTTTATTAATACAAATTGGACGATGTTGTAATATTGGTCTGACTGTCCCAGACACACACACGCACAGCCCTCCACAGTCTCTTTTACTGCCACTACTACTTAAATTACTGCTGCATCTACCAAGAGTACTGCTGTTTAGGTTTACACAATACCTCCTATAATGCAATTGCAAAGGGTGTCCCCATATTGCAGTGCCCCAGCCCATTGTCAAATCACAACTTCTGCATAACAAGTAAAAACACCAATAAAATAAAACACAATTTTCATAGATATATGTAAACATGTAATGCTAAATGCTAATGCTAAACTACCAATGGCATGTGAAATTAATTAAATCTAAATAATTAGAAGAACACAAATACATGCATGTTAGTTTTGAGTTATCTAAGAATTTTGATCGACACGAGGGTTTCTCCTATAAATTGAACTAGAGACTAATCTCACTTTGTGATACTGATATGAAAACCCGCTGAGTTAGAGATTAATCTCGTTTTGCGGTACCGTAAGAATTTTGGTACATTTGTTAATAATGATATGAAAACCCTTGAAATTTTTGTTGTTATGAGGTTAGTTGTGTGGCCTTACTAACTTGCATTATTTGAGGGAGGAGGGTGTTGTTGGGGACGCTTGCGCTTCTTCTTCTCGTAGCTGATTCCTCGAGCCTTGGCTTGTGAATCACGCACTTCACGAAGGTAGAGTCTGACAGCACGAGCACCGAAAGGGTTAGCGTCAGGTTTGCCTCCATTTTCTTCGAAAGCAGCTCTGAGGCGACCTATGAGAGCGTCGAGGCTGCCCCATGCTTGGCGTAGAGGGCAAGGGCATGGTGCAGGTGGGTTAGGGTGCCCGAAGAAGGGACAAAGCTGAGTGTGAACCTTGGTTTTCCCGAACTGGTCGAGGTACCGAAGGAATTCCAGCACGTGTGCGCCGCTGCAGCGTGAGAGCGAAAGAGGGGGTCTGTGGTTCCTCAGGTACTGTCCGAACGTGTTCCAGTCGCGCCGCTTCTGGTTCTCGTAGCGGCTCAGAGTGGCGGAGGAAGACGGCGGCGATGAGGGTGGTGCCGGTGAAGGGAAATTGGAGGTGGTGCCTTCTGTGAGGCTGATGCCCTTCATGTCCGTGTTTGCTGAGGGGTCGAATTCTTGAAAGGAGTTCATGATCTGTGAGAGATGCTGTTGTTGGATCTAGTTTGTGAGGCCAGTGAAGGGTTTTTTTTTCTCTTTTTTTTAGTGACTTTGCTTGTTGGATCGTTGAGGGCGTGAAGAAAAAGGAAAAAAAAACTTTGAAGAAGAAAAGAGACGGGTTAAAAATAAGAAATAAGAAATAAAAATTAAAAATTAAAAAATTAAAAATAAATAAATAAAATATCCTAAAAGTACCGTTAAAGTAGCTGTTCCGGCCAAAAGGTGCACTAGGGTTTTAGGTTTTTTTTTTTTTTTTTTTTTTCAGTGAATTTGCTTGTTGGGTCGTTGAGGGCGTGTGGAGATTGAAGAGAAGGAAGAAGAGGAATAAGAAGAAGATCTGTGAGGAGTGGAAAGCATGGAAAGTGTAAGAGAGAAAAGAAAAATGGCTTTGGTGTTTGATCAGATTTCGGCAGGGTTTGAACTTTGAACTGTTGTTGAAGGGAGAGAGAGTGTTGAATTGATGGAAAACGGTGGAGATAACGCAACAGGAAGGAGGGTAAAAGAATAGTAGAGAGAGAGAGGGAGTGAGGTACCCTATTTTCCTAATAGCTAGGCTACCTTCAACCCCTTATGTTTTTTGATAACTCCTAGAATACTTGAAAGCGTAGTGATGCAAGGTGCTTTTTGTTAACCCTGTTTTCAGAAACCATTTTAGGAATTCACAGTGGTTTTCTTTTTTTTTTATTAGGTGGGGGAAGAAAAAGGGTATGCAGCAAGCTGGGTTGGTTTGACCTATGGCAGTGCAAAGAGAGAGAGAGAGAGAGAGAGAGGAGAGGGGCTTAATTGAGAAAGAAGCAGTGTTTTGGCCTTAGGGCTTTTGTGGAAATGGAAATAGGTTGAAAATGACAGTGAGAGATGATTGATGCAGACAGATAAAGGTGATCAATAAAAAAATAAATAAAATGGTTTTGGTGCTTCTCTCTCTCTCTCTCGTTGATTGACAACACCTTTTCTGAAATTACCTACTTGCCCTTTTATGTCTGATACGACTAACTTTACTTTGGGAAAAATATGGGATCATCAACCATAGTTGCACTGCGTGCTAGTAGGGCTTGTGAACTTACCATCATTAGATTGATACTTTTCAAGAAGTGCTAATCCCTAGATATCTGTGTGCAGATTATAATGATTTCAATGATGAAAATCATTGACGGCAAAGGACTTCTTTAAACCACCTACTAAATTAAGATTAAAAGTGACACAAAAATAAGTAATTTTACCAAGTTTATTATCAGAAAAAAAGTTTTTAATACGGTATCAGAAAGTTTATTATCAGAAATTTTTAATTTTCAACTTTGTATGTTGTTAAATTAAATCTGTCGTATTACACGAAGAAGACAATTATATTTATCACCTTTATATAATTATTCATTTTCTTGTATATACACATTAAAAATTTATGTCCTATATTTGATTTTTTTAAGTAGTTTCTTAAGAAAAATATTATCTGGTGCTATGAGCAATCAAATCCTCTAATAGGTAAAATAACAGTTAAGATAAATTTCACTGCTAGCATTATAGCATATTTATCCTTTTTTTAATTTTTTCTCTTAGAAAAATGTGGTAGAGCGATAAAATATTCCTATATTATTAGGTAGGGTTTAATGGTATATTGAGATTGTTAGTAGAGGTCTATCTAGCAAAAAAAATGATACACAAATTTAAACTGTAAGTTGTTTTATTCGGTAGTAATTACTCAATTATTAATTTCTTGAGCACTAGGGCATTTCCTAGAGAAGAGCTGATGATTAGTTAAAGTAATGATGGAAACGTGTTTGGCCTTTTATGGAAGAATTAATTTTATGTTTAAAATTGATTTGAAGTTAAAGCAATTTTAAGTAATTTTTTTGCATAAGACCAAAAGTTTATAGTGAATTTTACTATTAACTTATTTTTACGATAAAATATTCAAACATAAATCACTTTCTTTTAAAAATTAATTTTATTCAAAAATCAATTTTATAAACACTTACCTTAAGTGCGTATAAAGTAATTAACACCCGACTAGAGTAATTGACCCGTTTGATATATTGAACACTACTTTTGTCTCCATATATATGATATTTTTTAACTAATTAATTTATAGAATTTTTTTAAAATTTTTTTAGTTAATATCATTATATTTTTTTAATAATGTGTTATTTTCTAAAATTACCACTAAGATTATTGAGACTCACCATTTTCCTCCATCTTCTTAATTAATTAATATAAAGAAAGAGAATAGTAATTTGATATTTTATCTTATTAGTTTATGGCTAGTCATTTTTAATTTTCTAATCTTTAAAAGAAAAAAGAATTTTATCGATTTACAGTATTCATTGTTAATAAACTAAAAATACTAATAAGAGTATTTTGTTGAAAACAAGAAATAAAATAAAATGAAAAAATCATATAATTGAACCAGAAATAGTATAATCAAGCCATGCTTATTTTCGGAATCCAGTTGTACCATGGTCGTTTGGAGAATGTCACTTCCAATTATAGCATGCAAAATTAGTTGGCAGGAAAATCACATCTGCAAAGCAATTTGCTTTTTAAAGGTGAAAGTTTTTGACCTCAAATGGCATGCTCATAGACCTATAACCTAACTCGAGAGATTTAAGAATCGCTAGTGGGACATTCATAATTAGAGAATGTGAAGTTTGTGATGATAGATCAAATCAAATTGAATACATAGAAGAAACAGGCTGAGTTGACTCCAAGGTTATCTTGAGATTTGATATGCCAACAAAGATGTAACTCTACTTCGTAATGTTTTAAAAAGTAAAATTAATATGCTTGTATTAGTTTAAGTTTCAACGAAGATTTAAATATCTTTACATGTTAATTAATACGAAACAAATAATATTACAAAAAGTTTAATGATAAAAATTTAAAAAATTATAAATTAGAGATTAAAAAATTAATATTAAATTATAGGAGCTAAAAAAATTTAAAAGATATATAAAGACTAAAAATATCTATTTTAAACTATAAAAATTAAAAAATAAATAAATAAAACTAATTATATGGATTAAAAAAATTGAAAAAGAAAAAAGTATTACTTTCAACTAATATAAACAAATATTGGGTTTGTATGTTTCTCAAATCTAAACAGATTTTTTTTAAGCAGTAAAAAGTTTCGATTAAATATTATCAAATTTTGATATATCTTAAAAAAAAATTCTCATAGGTCTAGTTAAATAGCATGGAATTTAGGTATATAATTTAAGTCGCAAAATACTAGAAGACTTTTTCATGAAAATAAATAAATAAATAAAACCTCAATCTAATACATTTCAGTAAGTTTTTAGAAGAATGTTTTTCACAAAATATTATGCAGGCCATTTAGTAAAATCCAAGTTATAATTATTTTTTGAAATAATAAAAAAAATGAGTGCCTTTAAATTATGTAAGATGGTTAAGTTATAAGGATAACTAGATTTCATTAAAATACTATTAGAATTTATAAAAGTAAAATTATTTTGACGACAATCATGTCATCCTACTTAACATCATTTTGTAGGTTTTTCATTTTCCGACAGAGTATATATGGTAAATGTATATGGATAAGATATTGAAAGAGATAATTTCACATTCAATTGTCATTTAGTTAGAAAGTATTTTTGGTGCAATTGAAAGGGGGGAAACTGTATTAATTAGAAAGAGATTATTTGACATTCAATTGTCGGTTAGTTAGAAAGTATTTTTTTTGCAATGAAAAGAGGGAAACTGTATTAATTAGAGTGACTCAGGAGTATAATACATTCTTTTAATAAGCTTCTCATTAAGGTAATTCTTATAAAGATAAAAATATTTTTAATTGCAACTATAATATTAGAAGTTCTGTTTTTATTATAGTCTTTTAATAATAAATGTATATGTGGTGTTCGAGAAGTGGTTGAATAATTTTGAGAATTATGAAATTCTTAAAAGTTTGGTTATTTTGAGAATTTTTTATTTAAGGTTTAGTTGTTCCTACGAGAAAAAAATATATGAGATTTCTTTTGAAAATGAGCCTAAAAAAATTTAAATCTTAGAAAAACTTAGAGAGAGAATTAGAGAGAGAAGCTTTAGTTTCTGAATTTTTCTTCTTTTTTTTTAGGCTTCCCAACAGACCTCTATTTGAAGCTTGAATGTTGATCAAAGGCCTTAATTGAAGGTCATTCGTATGGAGGTGTAGTGCGGAACTTTTCAAAGTTCAAAACTAGCTCCTTCTTTTCTACCTCTTCTTTTGCTTGAAGTCAGTGTAAAGGAAGCTTGAATTGAACTAAGTTGCATGTCTGAGTTGTATGTGTGATTTGGATGTTAAATGGCTAGAATTTTATGGTAGGATTGCATAATTATGAATGGTTGTAGTTGAACTTTGGTGTCTTGAGCTATAGAGATAATTTTGAACAATTTGCTAATTGCATGTTGTTGTTTGGATAGGAAATGAAATGCATCTCATGCATATGTATGAAATGTTGCAATACATGCTTGGTTTAAATTATAAAAATTAAAAGATAAGGTAAGTAAATTATAAAGATTAAAATTATATGTTAACCCAAAAAAAATCTAAGAATATCTTTAACAAGTGTATCTTAAGGTGTGTTTAATTTTAGAAAACATTTTCTATTTTTATTTTTAAAAAATAAGTTTCATTTTCTAGTTTTAAAATTTAGAAAATATATTTGGTTTGACTATTTTCAATAAAATTTTATGAAACGTTTTTTTTTATAAAATTTACAGTCAAAATTACTTTCTATATATATGAATTATAATAATATTTTATTTTATAAATATTTCACTCTTTTCACTGTATCTTATATTTATTCTCATTTGAATACTTTGCTCTCATAATAGTTAGATTTAACTCTAAAAACGTACAAATGTCTCTTATATATATTTTTTTTTTGTATCAAATGAACAATTTATTATCAAACAAATAGTAATTATATATCAAAATAAAATATATTTTATATTTATAAATAAAACAAAATAATATATATATATAACTAATACTACTTATCTTAAAATATACCCACCAAAACTTAATCACACTAAATATTAATTATATTTAATAATTAATATTTAATTAAAATTATTAAATAATATAAATAACATCTAATTAAAATTCTATAAGGGTTTTAGGGTTTAAACAGGCCTTTAAATATCTCATTTTAAATATTTGACTATCTTTCTTATTTTAATTGGGTCCTATAATGTCATTATATTTAAACAATCTATAAAAAAAATTATATATATTTAGTTCTAATAGTAAATCTTAATAAGCAACCTACGCTTTCATGTATATTTTTTTATATTTACCTAAATAGATCCTTCATAAGCTTCTTCCATCTCTTTTTTCAATGTTATGAAATTATTTTTTATGTGTAAGCTACCATATCTTATATAAGATATGTAACTTATTTTTATGCTACTCTTAGTGCTACGTAAACCAACTATGCAGAAGAAAAAAAAACAGAAACAATTAGTTTTTTTTTAAGCAATCTATAAGATACTCTAAATAACCGACTAAAATGAAAATTTTCAGAGCAAGACTTGTTTTTAAAGCTCGAGTTATGTAAGAACTAAAACAGTGATGTCAGAGACTAAAATGATTTATTTAATAAGCACCAAAGTAGGGGGGGGGGATTAAGACGACTAAAATAAAATAAAACCATATATATTATTTAGCACAAAAAGTTATATAAGCTTAAAAACAAGAAAGGGGTGCAAATCCAAATAGTAGACATAAAATACGCAGGTTTGAAAACAAACCCAGGAATCCCGAGACCACTGTATTCCATTCACAATCTCTTAGATGTAGAACCAGAATTGGACAATTGAGGGCTGCAAAATATACTAGTTTCACAATTGACCTTCCAGAAATGCTAGTTTGAATCCACAAGCACATAATGAAGCATATGAAATTTCAGATATTCACAAAGACCCATGACGTATTTGGATTCTTCTAGTATAGACATTTTTCTCTTTGCCATTTCTAGCTGAAAATTTTCAATTTTTATGACATGTGTACTGCTACTTATGCAACATGTATGAACAACATTGCTAACTTCTCCACAACGTTTCAAAGCTCAAACATGGTATAGCTTTATGATCTGGTCTATCTTAGACCGACATACAGGGCAACCCCATTTCTTTGATTTCACCTCGTTCAAGCAAGACATGCATCCAGCAACATGGCCACAGGGTATGCATGCCCCTTCTGCTGGAGCATCTAGACATATCACACATGAACCGCTTCCACTAGCATTATTTTCTTCTTTAGGGAGCTTCTCAACATCTGGAGATGCTAAATCAACAGGGCTTGAATCAATTGATGGATATTGAATGGGGCCATCTGTTGGAATCTCATCAGTGATTGGTGGTGCCGATGGATTGAACTCCAAACCCGGGTTAGCATCATGTACCAACTCACTATCACTTTTATCTGGATTTGGTGTGCCCAGAAAACTATGATTGCCTGTATTCACTGCATTGCTGGAAGAGCTTGCTTCAAAGTTTGACTGGACATCAGGAAAGGGCGGCCTCTCCTGCATGGCAGACTGAAGGGATGCACTGATGGCCATAGCCAACTCTGTGTCTTCTGCAGCTGGTGGTGCTGTGGGTGGACCTGTAGCCACATTATTTTGCAAGAATGCTGGACTTGCCTGAAAAATCCCAAGAAAGCATCATGCATCGAAAATTCATTATCTGCTAACCTTTGTAAAAATTTTGGGTTACAAATGAACTAAGGTGGAATAAAAATCAGATTTTTTTGGTAATCCCTTTGGATGACACCTATTGGAAATTGGATACAAGAAAAATGTATGTCAAGAAGATAAAAGAAATAAAGAAAATGAAAATGGATGTAGTTTTTGCTTTGAAGATTTGAATTGGTACTGAAATGAAGGTCAATTGGACAACTACTGGGCAATAAACTAAACAAACATTCTGATGAAAAGGGAATCAGAATGTTATTACCATTCTGACCAAACTGAAGCAAAGAATGTTTGCACTTTGCATCATTCTTTGGTTCTCTGGAAAATAACGAGATAGAGAAATCTTCCACAATTAATTACATAGTAGTACTGATTTGGTAGATGTCATGAAGCAAATCACAGTGATTTTCAATGAGAGAAAAGAGATCCCTCCATATTTTAGGATCACAGCATCAAATGGCGTGCAAGCAAAATACAAAAGATTTAATTTGGCCACCCAATAATTTTCCAAAGGGAAAAATATCCAATTACCTGATGATGGTTTAAATAATATCAACAATGAATTAAAAAATTATTTTGAGAGAAAAACGCAATTTATCCAGCCTCTTTCATCACACAATCATGGAGAGAAATTAGGCTATTCACTATTGGCAAATTTAAAAGTTATCTTTAAAACCAAATTTTCAGCAGCACATCATTGATTAGTTTTTACACAACTTTGTATTACAGGATTAATCTCTTGACCCTCTTAGGCTGTTCTTGAGCCAGACTTTTTTTCCAATTCCAAACCTATAACTTTAATAGCACTACTTTCCATCTAGATAAACCCATTTAGAAGTCCAAAACTCCCTCTAAGGTCAAGCACTCAAGTCTTTTATTTGGAATGTGGTGCCTAATGGGATGACCATTGATAACATGTTGTAGGTTCTCAAACCCTTGTGTTATGTGTAGCACTTGCCCATAAGTGGCCCCTCACGTGTTCTTATGATGTTTCTTAATAGAACTCTTTTTTTTTGCCAGTTTTGGTGAATGTGGGCTTACCTTAGGTCTTTGTCCCATTTTTTTTTATGATTAGTTTTCAAGGTTTTCATAGCAGCAAAGAGACAAGATTTTATGGCAATGAACAATCCACAGCTACATTTTGGTGCATATAGCTGGAGTGTAACTCTCACGTCATCAAGGAGATCACTTTGGCACAACAGTTGATTTGGAATAAGATTAGATATGGATTCTGTTTGGGGTAACAAACATGGTTGTTTTTAAGGGAGTTTCCCTAGATTAAAAGGAGGATTTTCTATCCTCCAAATTCATTGAGATTTCTTCTTAAAAAAAAAAAGGTAATATATGCACCAACAGTGTTACAATTTTTCGCATTGTCATCTAATCACAAATTGATATGTATGATAAGTTTGTTCCCTTTTATAACAACTATCTTAGAAGTCATATTTTTAATTAGTTGACAGTGTATGTTGATTGTTCATGCCTAATTGCCTATTAAACTTCAAAGGAAAAAAATTTACTCCTTAGGGATCAACATTCAAGTTACATAGACAATTATCAAGTACTACATTACAAAGAAAAACTCTCAAAATAAATAGAAGAGTGATTTTACAGCTACTGTTTATGTAAAAGCAAAGCTTATAATCATTAATAGAATCAGTGTACATAGCATGTAACACACCTGTGGAATTCCTTTGCAAGCATTAGAAAACCATGTAAGTTGTTGCTTGTCACTCTCACTTGCAGGCCCAAGTTTAATGCGTGTTTCTGGATAGAAGCAAACAAAATTCAACAATGTCAACGCAAGTCAAGAAGAAAGAAAGCATTTCTTGCATGGAAAAAAGGTTGTACAAAACAAACTTAAATCTCTTGTGAACACAATTTTTCCCCCAAACTCGATCAAGTTCAAGTAAACTTCGCCAAAAATCAGTTAACTCAGATTATACCAGAAAGTTTTCAAGTTAGGATTTGCACATGGTTTGGGACACAAAACACGCAGCCTTCATTGATTTTGTTATGCACTTCAATTGAGTTGCCTCCATTCTGTAGTATGTATCAAGTTTTATGAAGCTAATTTTATGTTTTTTATCTTCCATTTTTTTTTGTACTGTTTTATTAAACAATGAAATTGAGATATGGTTTTCATTTTATAACTTGTTTGATTTATTATGTTGAATATTGATTATGGATATACCATTTAATTATATTTGGGTACTAGGATGTATTTTCTAAATGATTTTTTAAAGTATGTAAACTTCTACAAGTTTAGATCCAAGTTTACTATTCTCCATGAGTTTACCCAACTCTTTAGTTTGACAACCTTAGAGAAAAGGAGAAAGAACAGAGTATAAGAAAATACTAGTAGTGTGATCAACAATTGACACTGATGGATCAGACTGGTGAAGCTTTGGTTCTTGTAAATGGGCCTTCCACAGAGAAATGATTGTACGTGGTTGTGCATCCTGCTCATTTAACTATAAGCTTTAGAAAAGACAAGCAAATACAGATGATGATATGGAAAGAATATTCGGAAAAACAGAAGCGTAAAGAACCAACTCAAGTCTTGTGTGTTAATTTGAAGTGCAAACATATATTGTTAATTAAAAAAAATTCCATGTAAATGTGCATGAAATACCTGCAAATTAGAATATATGGCAAGCTCCAACTTGTAAGGTCTGGTAAGATTACGGGAGCCAACTGGTAAAACAACCACCCAACTGAAAAGAAAAATAATCAACAATGAGCATTATCACTGATATTGTACTAAAAAGTTCGTTCATAAAAAAAATTGAAAAAAATACTTTGCTGGTTGTGTGAATACAAGTCCAACTAACAAGCAACAAACCTAGAAAAAACAAGCCATAAAATAGGAAATGTAGAAGTAAACTTAGATGTTTGAACAATATACCACATGTTACTCACACTTTTTTAGATACCAACTGAGGAGCTACTACTTCTAGAAACCCAGGTCCGTGAAACTCCCGCAACCAGCCAGAGAACAAGCATAAATGACTCTACAAAACAACAATCATCATTTGAAGAACTTAGATGCTTCAGGTATCATGATAAAGAGAAGAAAACGAAAGAAGTCAGGCCATTTAACTTCATACAGCAACAACTTGATTTTACATTACAAAAGTTTTGTACCTCAATTGCGCGAACAACATTGCTGTGCCCTTTGGCCCTGGCAACCTCAAGAGCAGTTAGACAATCATCATTCAACACTAAAGGATTGGCTGCAAAGTTGATCAGTAAATCCCTATAAATATCATTTATTGCAGTTTCTAAAATTCAAATGAATGGAAATAGTCATGTTTTGCTTAAAACACCTGACCATACCTCCATGCAAAAGAAGTAACTTAACAATACTGTCAAAGCCCCTTTTAGCTGCATGATGCAATGGAGTCCCACCATGACGACCTAAACAATGGTTGAAAGTTGAAACTAACGGATGAAACAAAAAGGAAAACAATAAACATAAATCAAGTTCATTGTTTGATTTCCACTACAACACTCTTCTGAAACATAAACCAAAGGATGGCAGCAGAGACAAGCAAGGCAACCATTTCCTCTAAGAAATTTACATGCCCTGTAAACATCTAAAACTGGGCACATCATTACCATAAAACTCAATGAGGATTAATATTAGGATAAAACTTGGGTACAGTTCCCTAGGTACTTCTAATATTGTTCTTTAATCAGAATTGAATTTTTACCATGTAATTTATGTTGACATTTAATGCAAACCTATATTGTATGGATTATTAAGGTGAAACTCCAATCTTGATTAACACTAAAAGCATCCAAAGAACTATGCATGTTTTGTCCTTGTTATTACTAACAAGTACCTAAGTTTTGTCAAATGGCAATTTACCACAACATGCCCGTTTCTCAAAAATTGTGATAATTATATATATATATATATATAAATAAGAATTACAATGACACAACTGTGTTTGAACATGCCTCCCTATACGTACTACTCCAACCCCTATCCCAATTAAAAGCAGTCAGCACCATTCCCCTCAGAAACCATAACAAACCGAAAAGAGAACAATACCAGGACGGTATGCATTGACATTGGCTCCAAGTTCTATCAATGTTTTAGCAACATTATAAAGCTGGGGATTCATACAAGCAACAATCAAGGGGGTCTTTGCTTCTTTGTCCCTCCACTGCATCAAAGATCAACACAATCAACAGAAAAACGCAACGGATCCAAACCCAAAACCATAAAAAATATTAATAATAAAACTCCCGTTTTCCCGAAATTTTGGCGTAGCTCCATACCTCTAGGCCTGCACCTTCTCTGTGAAGGGTTTTGATGCCTTCGCTGTTCCCATAACCGACTTGCTGGTAGAGCACTTCGTCCTTGGATTGCCCTTGCCCCATCGGAATTCAGAAGCAAATGAGGATTTTTATTTATTTATAGTTTGTTTATGGATTTGGCGGAAAATATGAAACGGGTGTCCTGGTATGAGGGAAAGGAAAATCGGGACAGAATGAAATGAGAAATCTTTCCAGGAAAATTTTGAACTTTCCTGGAAAATGTACGTAGCAGTGTAAGGTAAGAGATAGTGATAAATATGAGAATTGAGAATTGAGAATTGAGAATTGAGAATGAAGGAGAAGAATTGGGGAACGCGTGGGGCTAAAAGTGTAAATAAGCAAATATGGCAAATGATAAATAATTAATTTATATTTCTAAATTCTAATGCAAAGGGAACCGCGTTAACGCTGGTGATAGTGATTGATTTCTTAGGAAAGAAGGAAATAGAATTTGGATGGACGCTTTCTGTGAAGTTGCAGCAGCCTACATCTGCACTCCATCCATCTCTGTCCAGACTTTTACCGAGGTTTCAACTTTTAACTGTGGCACGGAGTCTTCCTGATATTCGAATTTTAATCTATAATGTATAATTATTAATAAAAATTATATGTTTTTTTTATATATTTTTTAAGCTTAATTTTATTTTTAAATTATTATTTCATAAATTATAAATCATTCATACTTTTTTAATAATTATTTCATTCTATAATATTTTTTGTTTTAATTATTTTTAAACAACTGAGATATACTTTCTAATAATTTTTTAAAATAAGAGAGACACAATACTTTTTTTTCTAGTTTGTAAGAATAAAAATAATAAAAATCACAAAAATTGGCTGTAGATAAGTAAAAATGGATAATTATAAATGTATTTATAAGTTCAAATAATTTATGTTGGATTCATGATAATTTTTAATGTTATAGCATATTTGTTAATTATAATACTGACTTTTTGAGTTGCTTACTTCAATTGTATGATAAAGTGGTAAGTTAATGTTAATTAAGTTGGTTCAGTTCTAAGAGGTCAACTTTGAGATCAAAGTGATCAACCTTGAGATCAAAGCTAGTTGACCTGAGATCTTGTCTCAAATTTGTACAAAGTTTTTCTCTTTTCCCATGTTCTTGTTAACTTATTTCTCCAAGAGGTAAAGGAAACTATAATTTAATTGTTAGTAGATTGTGGTGTTGCATGTGTCTTGATTTTTGTTGCATGTTATTGGTATGGCAAATTGGTATGTTGATGTTGCATGTCTCATTTTCTTCAAAACTTAAATATCTTATTGTGTAGATATATAATACGGTGCTTTGAGATCTCGATTGAACCCTTCAGTAAGTAAGTTGACTTCTGAATGGGTAAGTTGTTTTCAATTGTCCCCTATAGGATTTATGTGGTATCCATATAGTGATCAATTCAAACCATACGTGTATGAATTAACCAATTGAGTAAAATATTAGATCAAAAACTTAGTTTTTAACTTAGTATCGAATGGATGTAGTACTTGGAGGATAGTTGATGGATTAATCTCATAGGTGGCTTAGTGTTACAAACTAGTGTCATGGTAGACTCATAACCAAGTTGTTTTATCCTAAAAGTAGCACTAGAGTCCCTAATTTAAGTGGCAAAACCTGATAAATCAATATAACTTATGCTAATCATTATTTCTAGATTTAAGCTAGCCACTATTTTTTTTTACCACAATTTCAATCATTATTTCTAGTTATATATCAACTGATGCAATTTGATAAGGTCTAATGACTTAAGCTGCTCACCTATGATATAGGAGATCTCTATAAGTTGATATGTGTGACGATACATTAGTTGTTTAAGGTTGTTTATGTTGTGATTGAAGTTGTTTATGATTGAGAATGTTATATATGTTGCAAGTTGTATTAGCTATTGAAAATTGTGATTCAATTGTTAAGTTGTTTAGTTATTTTTAGTTGATTATTGAAATGTTGTTCCGCTTGATGCTTAAAATTGAAAAGCTAACCTAGTGTTAAATTGTTACATTGCTTTAGTGTTTTTAAGTTGACATGCTACCAAGTTATGTTGTGTTGTAAGTTGCTATGTTGTCATTATATTATGTCGACATATTGTCTAGTTGAAAGGATTATGTTGTCATGTTGCCATGTTGTATAAGTTGTTAATTGATAAGTTGTATTGTTTATATGCTAAGTGGTAAGTTGTCAAGGAAGTTATAAATTCCATGTTGTATGTTATTATCTATTGATATTTGATTTTTTTTTTTATATCTACCTTACCCTTGCATATTTTCTTATGGTTGAACTACTATGATCATGTTTTTCATGGGAGTTGGACAAAGTTAACTGGAGACAAATAATGGTTCTGGTGAGGCCATGTTGGTGTTTGATTTTGCTATATCTATTAGGTTACTCTGATGTAACCAATTTGTATAGATGTTTTATAATCAACAACTAGAGTTTTTATTTTCACAATTGGATTATTGTACATATACTTATATATATGTGTGTGTATTTAGTTTAGTTAACGAGTGTATGTATATATGCTATAATGTACTTTTCAAGTGTTGTGATTATATTAATCTTAAGTAGTTATAATTTGGTTGATGCTGTTAATTGTTTGATTTCATTAAGTTTAGAGATCATGAGAAGTCGTTACATCAATAATATGTAGGTTCATACATGTTTAATTATTTCAATTTTGGGACCATAATTTTTTTAATCTATTTTTGATATTAATAATTATAAAATATGATAAAATATTACTCTTAAATATGGTAATATTTTAATTTATAAACTAACTTAATTATTGTTTTTTTAAAATTGTTGTAAATAAATTTGTAAATTAATTCACAAGTTTGGATGACTCTTGTTGAAAATATATATGTTCATAGATATTTGATTCAACTATAGACATAATAGTCAAAATGAGTCACAACTTGTGAATCAACTAAGTCCACCATGAGATTTGATTCAAGTTGGATTCAAAATTTTTTACAAATTTCAATAATGTAAAAAACTCAATCCATTAAGAACTCAACTCTAATTACATATCATAATTATTTTTCTATCCGATTTCAATATTAATCATATATAAATCAAATAATCAATCAATATTAACTACTTATAAAAATGTTCACAAATTAAATGTAATCCAGACAATTTTATTTTGTTGGTAAGCATTAATGAGTTTTCAATAGCTACTTTTATTAAATATGTTTGAATTTTGAACTTATTTTTCTAGTGAATCTATATTATTAATAAAGAATATATGTATTTTTAGTATACATTTTGTTGATCATTCCCTTAAATCTCAAAACAC